CACGCCGAAAATCAAATAAGCCGTCCAAATAACACCACCTGCAAACCACCGGCCTCGGATCCTCAAACGCACTCCGGCCCCCTCTTTTCTCCCCACCTTCGGACCTGGGCGACCCGGAGCAGTCGGTACGGCAGAACGGCAGAGATACAATGTCATCTCGGTTAGCAATTCCCCACGAAATACACGCCTGCGCACTAACGCCAAGTACCGCGTAGACGCGCGCTCACGGTCCCCAGGTATTCCTCCCCCAAGCCACCGCAGGCACAAGCTCCTCCCCTCCCGCCTGAGACCCCAAGTCTGTCTGCCTGCCGTTTGTTACCATCGGATGATCACTCATTGGCTCGTCTGTGTTCGAGGGCGTCTGGCGTCCCGGCGTCCGCAAGGTCGCGTGCGCACCCCGCATTCTCTCCACGATCAGGATGAAGTAAACCGGACCTTGGGGTTTCCTTCAGCTCTCGAGCCGCTTCCCAGTCACACCTCACCTCGAAGAAGCAATCTCGAAGCAGCAGAATCCTGATACGGGGAAGTTTGTGAACTACGGAGTAGTCACGATTTATACCTTCTTTCGGTGCCTGGCAATGAAAGCAATCATGAAGTTTCTCACGTTGGATTCGCTTGCTCAAGATGGCGGTGTGATCGGAATGCTCGGAAGCTATCATTCTATTGCTCGTTCTCTCTTTGACTTCTGTGTCTATGGATCTATCCATTCGGTACTGGTATAAAATGCTAACGCCTTGCCAGGTTTTTTTTGCACTGTAGCTTCTGTACCGTCTCCAGGTCTACCTGGGCTCCCGTGCTCGATTCGACATTACTACAACGTCCTCGAAAGATCGCACATTATCGAGACTCAACGGCCAGGCCCAGAGCCCGAAGAACTTGGCGATACGAATCGCCAAAGTCCCACACTAGCATATGCAGAGAGGGCCATCGTGGACCAGCTCATGAGAAGACGCGACCTTTCTGTGGGTTTTTTACATTCAGTTGCTCAACTCCGTGACTTAGTTCACCGCACCCTTGATAGGGGCAGTACCGAGACCGTTGTGGTTGCGGAAGAACAAGACACCCTTACCCTCGCCCTGGGCCTCAGCACTAGGCTCAACCCACTGGCACATACGCGCAGACTTGTACAACGCCTTGATGAAGCCAACCGGGCCATCCTTGACGTCAGCACGGTAGTGCTTGCCCATGACGGGCTTGATGGCATCGGAGGCTTCGTCGGCGTTGTAGAAGGGAATGGTGCTGATGTAGTGGTGAAGGACGTGGGTCTCGATAATGCCGTGGAGGAGGTGGCGGCCGATGAAGCCCATCTCGCGGTCGATAGTGGCAGCGGCGCCGCGGACGAAGTTCCACTCACCAGCGGTGTAGTGAGGAAGAGTAGGGTCGGTGTGCTGGAGGAAGGTAATGGCGACTACGAAGGAAGGTTAGCTGACAGTCACAGAATCAAAACGAGGCTTTTGGACACTTACCGAGCCAGTGGTTAACCCAAAGGTAGGGAATGAAGTACCAAACCAGGAGGTTGGACCAGCCGAACTTGTTGCCGAGGAGGGTGAGGACGGCCATGGTGATGCCGACACCGATGTCAGAGGCGATGATAAGCTTGGCATCCTTGGCCTCGAAGATGGGACTGCTGGGGTCGAAGTGGTTGACGCCACCGCCGGCACCGTTGTGCTTGCCCTTGCCGCGGCCCTCACGCTGGCGCTCGTGGAAGTTGTGGCCGGTGACGTTGGTCATGAGGTAGTTGGGCCAGCCAACGAGCTGCTGGGCGATAAGCATCAGGAGGGTGTAGATGGGAGTCTCCTCAGCCAGCTCGCCGACTTCGTGGGCCAAGCGGCCAGCACGGGTGGCTTGCTGCTCGCGAGTGCGGGGCACGAAAACCATGTCACGTTCCATGTGGCCAGTGGCCTTGTGGTGCTTGCTGTGGGAAATCTGCCAGCTGAAGTAGGGAACGAGCAGAGCCGAGTGAAGAACCCAGCCGGTGGCGTGGTTGATGGTCTTGGAGGGCGAGAAGGCCTGGTGACCGCACTCATGGGCAATGACCCAAAGACCGGTTCCGAAGAGACCCTGGAGAATGGTGTAGACAGCCCAGAGAACGACACGAGCAGCCTTGGAAGGCACATACTCGGGGGTAGCGAAGTTGTGGAAGATCAAGAAGGTGGTGGCGAGGCAGACGATATCGCGAGCGATGTAGGCATATCCCTTGAGAGCAGAACGCTCGAAGCAGTGCTTGGGAATAGCGTTGTGGATGTCCTTGATGGTGAAATCGGGAGGGGTGAACTCGTTGCCGTAGGTGTCGTACAGCTTGGTGTAGTTGGCCTTCTTCTCGAGGGTGACATCGTCAGAAGCCATAGACGACAAGGACGTCGACGAGGCAGAAGGACGGGGCGAGTCCACCGGCGAAGCCATGGCAGTGGAAGGGACCGAAGCGTCGGTCTCGGTGGTGTTGCTAGTGACGGTGCGGCGAAGAATGGGGTTCTGGCCGGCCGGCGCAGACGAAGTGGTGGAAGCCATGGCAGCTGATATTATTGTGCTGCTTCTAGGGAAGAGAAGAAGAAATATGAGGGCAGCTTGTTGATGTTGCCTCGGTATTAGGTGAGTACACTCAGAGGAACGGTTGACAAGTTCCAATGGCCCTTGGGAGAAGAGAGAGGGATACCAATTGGGTCGCGGGGAGGGAACAGGAATCAAGAAACAAAAGCAGGATAAGGAGGAAGGGAGGGGAGTAATAAATGAAGGCACTCTGGGAAAACCTCAGGTCGGTATCGGGTCGTGGCGGAGGCGAAAAGACAAAATAGTTAGCAAACGATGGGCCGGGACGGGACCCGTTGTCAACTGTGTCTCTCCAGGGCCTTGGCTCGCTAGTACCGAGTAGTAACAAGTGGCCGGTCAGGTACCGTAACGAATGGAGCGAAAGGAGATCCCTGTGAGTTTTTTTCGGGGGAGTGAGTGGTGTGCAGGTAAACTGGACCATCTGTAATAAACTGAGGTGAGGTCTGCTTGGTATCCGTAGTGGTGTGCTCTCTACTTTACCGTGTAAGGTATGCTGTGCTGTGCTGTGTGGTCTGTCTGGCCTCGGTTCCGTTTTTGTTGGGGACGAACTGGAGAGGGAAAGAGAGGCAGCTCCGTTACTTGTGGCCTGCGGGGGTTTGCAGGGCGCGGTGCAAGGGGAGAAAGAGCAGGACCAGGGACGGGAGGGACGAAATGCGTGGCAGGGGATGGGGATGGGGATGGGCGGCCACCGGGGCACCGGGGGTGTGAAAGCAATGAAATGTGTTCGTGTCAAGTCGTGCCGTGTGGTGGTCGGTTGTTTTCCTTCCTTTCCAATTGCTGTTGGATTTTTCTGCTGGGCATCGATGTTGATTGAGTTACCCACCAAAGGAGGACGATGTGGAGGAAGGAGGAGGCAAGAAAGTCAAGTAACCCGTACATCCACTACTTGGGCGAGGTACAAGATTGTTGCACCAACTATCATGTGTAAAGAGGTATCTTTCCTCCCCACCTCCTTCTCTTTATGGGCTAAGGTACAGCTACTACTACCTATGCGAGTACCTTACCTCTAGCCATTCCGAATCCCATGAGAGGCCGGACGGAAGGAAATACCGAAGCTGGAAGCTGCGCTTGGTCAAGTAGGTATCTGAATCTATTCCTTCCCATAATACGAATTATCGTTACGTGAGGAAGGTATTGCAAGTGAATCACTGGAAGACAGGAGGGGCGCATCCAGACGGCGTTTAGACATTAAGACACGGGCTTTGGTCATGTCAAATGCCATTGAATACCTCATTCATGTACTCATTAAACCGAGGGATCACGGCATACTTTGTGAGGTACACTATTTCCCTTTCTTCGGCTATTGTTGAAAATGGGAGTTGCTCGCCTCCCCACAGTAGCAACAAGTCGATACTCACAAGCCACAACCCGGCGTACCGTTTTTTGGTGGATGGAGAGCTTGGCGATGCCGAGTATGAACAAAATTCTTGCGGGTTGGCCAAAACTTTTTTTTGGAGAAGGCACACCTCTTGTTTTTTCCGCACCAAAGGGGAAAGGAAAAGATCGGCTGAGAAAGAATTTTTGGGACGAGGTCGGCGGTCTGAAGGGTCTTGGTTCGATACGTACCCCATCCTAGTGTAAGGCGAAAAGGACGGGATGGAAGGAAGGAATGGAAGTTGGGAATGCTTCAGCCGTGTTTTGTTGTACATCTACATCCACCAATATTTCTTTCGCCTAGCATCGACACTGCCTTTGCCTAGATGAATTGTAACTGCTACCTTCCAACCCGACCTATGCAGTCCACCTGCACCAGACGCAGCTTGCAGTGAGATATGGTAAGGTACCTACCTGAAGCACGCAAATGTGCCTTCCACTGACCGTTCCTCGCCCACGCTGCAATGCTGCATTTACCGCACAGACTCGAGGCAAGGTAATCTGAGTCTTCCATTGACCGTGCTGAATTTCGCCCTTTTTCTCTTCCTCTGACTTAACATCTGAGCCTACCTTACCTTAGAGCCGCTATTGACACGCGACGGTATTTGCATCAGTCTGGATCCTCTCGCTGTCCCCGCCATTGCCACTGTTTGCATCTGGGTCATGTTCCAGCTCCCAGCAGCAAATCTACCCCTATTAGGAGGCAAATTCATGCCTGGCAGGGCAACACATGGACCGCTCCATTGCAACGCGAGACAGGCACCATGTCTGCTGTCTCTTTAGCTTACGCATTACTGTGTAGTTCTTTGGTTCTGGAGCTCTTGCCAGCTACTCGTACCTTTCGGTACCGACATACCTCGACGGGGATGGGAGTGCCGAGACTTTGAACCGTATCTCTTCGCTCCATGCCTCCCTTGGCCCTCCGTTTCTCAAGCACGCACTCTGCGGCTTGTCTCGCTCCCGCCTAGCTCATGCTAATGCACCCTTACTTACCTGTGGTCCACTCTGGCCATGCTCCAACCTCACCGCCCTTCGAGCCAGCTGGCTCGACTCCTCGAGAGGCAGATCAGAGCCAGACTGTGGCAAAGTCGATTTGGTTCATCAACAGCAGCAGAATGCCAGATCCCTCAATCGGTCCCGGATGGCCATGATGGTTTGACATAGGACTCAGACCCAATACTGTATTCACCGTTTCCATCGGAGGACTGCAGATCTAGGACAGCCTCTTTCGAGACCCGAGTTGGACATATCTTGCGCAAGACAGCCTATGCTGTCACTGCTATGGTATTACCTAGGCGTGCCAGGCCTTCAAGCCTACGGGCTGGCAGTATCCAAGACACCGCCATGTAAGTCGGAGCTGATTTGCCGCCCAAGCTGCACCAGCCGTCCTGCCGCTCCCGTTATGCCTCCCGGGTCATACCTGCGCTCTCTGACGTCTTGTCTCGTAGCAGACATGCAACACGCAGACCGTCGATTGGCCTTGTTCTTGAAGGTAGTGCGGCCACCGCCCGTCCACCAGTCACTCCCGCAAATGTCGAGCCTACCGCCTACGTTTGGCACAAACCGGCGTTCGTCCGTGCATGTGAAGATGGCGCTTGTTCGGGGCAAGATTCAGATCGGAAAATCCTCCAGTCGTAGACGGTGGTGGTGTGGCAGCGTAGCCAATGTTGAGTCAGATCAGGGACCGCCCCAAAGCCGGCACCATTCGACCAGCAACAGCAATTTTTGTCCGTTTCGATCTCACCACATGCCCGGAAATCGACCCGCAGCAGTCACTTTGTACATTGATCGTCGTGCGCTCAGAAGGTCTTTCCGCCGACTTACTCCGACCGGTTCGTGATCAGGAGATTTTACTCCATTGTGGGATGTCCCTGGGGCGAGTCTAGATATAAGTACACGGCGGAGACTACTCTTGCGCCGCAGTAGACCAGGGCCAACATATTGGACTTTGAAATGTTGACAGTATTCAGGAATCATTGGGGATACGATCGATAAGGTGCCCGCCGTCGCTCAGCCTTCAGGGACGGCAGTACGTACCTGGGTTCCCCACGCTTCTCGGTGGGATGACAGGGATGCGCAAAGTATACGTACCTCTGCACGTAAGGAAGTGGCCCTCTCTCTTTCCTGTTCCCATTCTTTCAACCCCACGAACAAAGCAGCGGAAAGCAGAGCAGACTGGGAAGACGCGACAGACTGGAGCCTCTCGATTGGCCAACAACGTCTTCAGCTTGCTCCAGCCAATCGGGAGTAGAGCAAGTTGCTGACGCGGCTAGCCAATCAAGGGCCCGCAGCTGGGGAAGGGGGTTGAATCTTGAATTGACGCCCTCGCTTTCGTCGACGACGTCCAAGGAAGAAAGTGGCCAAAGATGAGTCTCTCGCCAGCTAGCCACCTTTCTGAATCGCTTCGCATGGCATCCAATTTCCACATCGGAATTTTGCAATACAGAGGGGGAGACCGATGAAGAACACTTTGGCAATTGGACTGGACTCGAATCGACCTGCCTCGGGCAAACCCGCGAGACAGAGGATGAAACGACCTAGGATCGAGTCGCTCGACTTCCATCCTCGACGACCTCCACAGCTCACAGCTTGAACAGAACGCAAAGACCCTGAAACAAGGGTGGGAACGCCGTTTTCTGGAAGCATCATGGCATTCCAGGGTCCGGTTTTTGCCTGCTTCGCTTCTGTAGGGAGCGCTGTGAAGATCAGTTACTCCCCTTTCCCCCCTCTATTACTCTCTTATTTTTATTTTTATTTGCTGCCCTTGAAATTTTCTGTTGGGGTTCAAATTTGTTGAGATGGTTGCAGTCCAGGGCAGGGCCTTGTCGCGATGGCAGAGCTTCATTGGTACGTACTGACAGAACCCCACTCAGATGGATGAATCCCCGGTCTTTGCTCTCGCAAGTCGCAACTTCTTGCCCTGCTCTCTTCAGACCCAGGGATACGTACCTCGGGAACTACAGCACACGCCAGTCTTGATTCACTCTCAAGTCTTGAATCTTCAGAACGGATGGACACCTTGCGGTGGAAGCACTCATCAATGCCGGCCATTGTGATATTAAGTGGACTGGGAATCAAAGCTCCATCGACTTTTCAGAATCCCGATTATCGTGGATACCTTCTATCGATGTTCCAGTTCCACCCAACGCTGAGACCATCGAGATCCCCGAGGACCAATCCCAACATACTCAATTACACGGGGGACAAGGATTGGGCAAGCTGGCAAGCTGTTTGTCGGCAAGGTCTCTGCTGCTTACAACCAATTTTCAATTATCACATGGTAACTGTTCGACATGAATCCTGCCTCGTCTCCCGCACAGTCTGGAATGATATCCGTTCTGGCAGCAAACCAGAGTGCGCCAGGGGCAAAACTGTGCCTCCAAGATCCATCATTCAGAGGCCACAGCCAACGGCTAATTACACGACGCCTCTGTAGTTGGCACTAGTCATCATGGCACTCGTGCAAGTCAGGCCCACCATCGTCTACTGTCGTGGACTTGTGGTGTGGTACCGTCCGCTCCTCATCCCTAACAAACCCGAGGCCTGGCCCTTTTTCACAGACCACAGGACCGATTCCCTTCACATGTGATTTGCTCCCCTCCATAGGATAGCGACAAGAGGCGGCAGTGACCACTGACAGGCGCCACGACCTGCTCCAAAAGTCACGACATTTCTGTTCACCCCTTGCTAGTACTTACATCCGTTCCGTTAGCTTTGCAGAGGAATCAGGGAACGTTGGCATTGGCACTCTGCTGATACCTCCCCATCTCGGCAAAGTCTCCTGCGAGTTAACGGACCAAGCACGACTCGGGGGCCAGAGATCGCTTGTCGAGACTCCAGCAATGTCACTGTCAGTAACTGGCTAGAGGCGGAACATTCCCTTCGTCCCGTCTGGCCTCGGAGGGCTAACGCTCAAGCAGGTTTACTTGCCCTAGCCTTTTTGGAGGAAACCCAGGGTTGTGTACTCCGTATCTGCTTCGCATCGTCTCGTCGAGCAAGAAGATGGGAGGATTCGTAGTAGCACCAATCAACAGTAGCTGGTGAAAAGGTTTGGCTTGTTGCGGTCATCGATGACCATGTCTCGTAGGGCTTTCAGCTGACGACACTTTTGTCTCGGTTACCCCAGCACTAGTCCGGATGACTGACAGCTCTAGCTCCAGCATGTCACTCGAAGAGAGTTTACGAGTTGCGAGTTTTGGATGAGACATCCGCGAGAGCCACAGCCTCACGCATACCTGCTCACGCTTCTCTCGGTCTCGCCAATCACTGCTCACTCACATGCTGTCTTCATTTGAAGTAGTCAATCGAATTGTTGAAGTCGGTTTGAAATCGCAGCGAATCGTGTCATAGATTGCCACTACGGAGGATCCCTCAAGTCTCAGTCAGGTCCATACTTGACCTCCTATTCACCGCCTGACGTGGAACAGCCCGCCCCTGATCGCCAATCACACGATACATGAATACCATTTCTCACCTCGACAGCTTGCTGCGTAACAGGCAAGGCCCTCTACGACACCTATTATCGTTCATATCCTTATCAGGAATAATCGTCCTCTATGCGCCCTTGTGACAAACGGCAGAATGATATCCGGTGGGGGCTCAATGTCACGGTATCAGATTGAGCTGCCTTGCTGTTTGGCTGCCTTGCCTCTCAAGAGAAATGCAGATCATATCAAAAGACATGTGAAAATACACTTTCAAGAAATGCCTGAATATCACGTCTCTAATGTCACTCGTGTCACACTAATATGCCGCCGTTCTCAACAGCTTCATCGCCAGGTGCTGCAACACGCTTGATACTCCCCGGCTTGCTCCGCAAGTAAATTCGTATGGCTCTCTGTAGACAAGACCTCAGAACAAGCCCGGAGTATGACCTGTAGCTTACCACCTTACCTGTTACCCTCTGCAATGCTTCACCGGTATACCTGCCTATCAGAATCGCTCAGAGTCGCGCCTTCTGTCAAACAACGCCAGCCCCATCCGTCGCGGCTGAGACACCCAACAATCCGACCCCGCGTCTCACAGACGCCATCTCCGGGTCACTGAGGAGAGGTTGGCTGGAAGTGTAGGTATCTTGGATCTCTTGTGGTGTCATGGCACTTCACTTCTTATGCTGAGTTAGTCGGAGTTGCTGTTCAGGTGTAACCCCCGCATCACTACCGGCGCTTGAAGGTGTATGTTCAGCATGGGGGGCTCTGCCCCGCGGTAGGCTGCTGTTGAGTTAGGTAGTGCCAGACAGGAGTCAGTCTGGCCATGTAGCTAATAACGAATCGCGTGGTGGCGTTGGTATGATGCTATCTGAGGTCAATGTCAACGGATCGTCGCCAGACCGATCCGAAGTTGATGGGCGTCAAATTTTGAAATTAGAGCGCAAGATTACAGCCGCGAATGATGGAGAGGCTCTGAAGAGTTCGTGGCTTTTCTCTCTCATAATTTGGTTCACGTATGATGCGCAATTCTTCTGAAGTGGCTGAAGGTTTTCGCTCATCTGGTCGTGCCGTCTCTTTTGCCTCACTATTTCTTACGGTCAGGCAGACAGCACGTGCGGTCGAACTTGACACTCGAATCACAATAGGCTCTGAGAGATCATGTTTCTGTATCAACCGTCTATATGCTTGACTATCTGCAGCCATTCTAAGACTGGTCGTGAGCATCCATGTCCGAAGGAATCCTCACGCAAGTCAAGAACGAGACGAAGTTGGATTTGCCATGGAAGCTGAGGTTGAAACTCGACCCTCTTCAATAATACCCATCACACGTCTACTCTGCTGTTGGCGGTAGTACTGCATGCGATCAGGAACCGTTGCCCCCGACTCGTTTGGGTTCTTTTCAACTCTCTCATCTTTTTCGTCTGAGGTCTCTGTACTGGCATCGCTTGATTCGATGTAGTCCCTTCCCTTCCAGTATCGCTTTCCGTGAATATACTCTTCGTCGTACAAATCAATTTCTCTGCCTAGTAGACTGAAATATTGCAAAGCCGCTTGGAGTTCTTGCTCTTTCTTCTCCGAAGGACCGATGTTGGCATCAGCCTGGCGTCTTTTGACTCTAACGTGACGCGCCTGGAAGGGGATGCTCGGGGGTGTGCCGAACTCCTCTTCCTCCTCCTTGATGATGGAAATACCCCCTACTTCTAAAACTCTCCGTTGTTCTTCCGGCATCCATGAGCCATGAGAGACAATCCATGCGTTGAACTGTGGAGTATTTAGCTGTAGGAGATAATCATACGAGAGCTTCAGGTCCTCCCGCACAGGTCGATAATGATCTAACCAATGACGCGAGACGTATCTTAGTAAAGCCCGAGGAGGGTCCTTGCAACACTCGTTGAGATACGCATTCGCTTCTTGTCTACTCAAGGCAGTCTTCTTGAATGCCTTTGCTGACCGAAACAGGCCAATGTAATCAACGCAAATTTGAAGCATGTACAGATTTGCATCCGCTAGACTGATTGAATGTTGCCATTGAGAAACAAGTGTTGAGCTTCCTGGCTTCTGCCGGTCTTGATCTGTGGGTAAAGAGTACCTTGGTCGTTGAGAAATCGTCCCGAACCTGAGCTCCCTGTGTTTATCCAAAAGAAATTGGCGGGCTGTCTGATGAACTACATAGATTTTTCGTTTGCGGATCCTGACGAAATGGCCACATACTTGTCGCAGATGACTTACGAACGGCTTGTGCATGTGGTTTTGCAGCTCTTGAAAATTCGACATTGTTCGCATCTGGAATTCTGGCTGTCTACCGACTCTTTCATGATTTGCCTTAGGCCGGAGCGAAATGGCCCTCGTGGCTCTTCTTTCGTTGTTCTCTAGCTGCTGCATCAGGTTGGTCGAAGTAATTACTCTTCCGAACCTAATGATAACTTTCCGTTGCTCGTTTTCTTTCACCTTGACTCGACTAATCGTGGGCGGTGAGGATATTGGTGGTAATCCTGTCGTGGCCTCGGTGATTTCGGATTCTGGACGGCCCCGAGTTCTGGCGTTTTCTTCATTTGACCGGGCTGACCCTCTCGAGATATCATGTCTAAGTTGGCCCTGTCTAAGTGGGCCAACGCTCGTTTCGACTCCTCTGAATCTTGCTGTTCGTGGTAGTCTTGATTGACTTCCACAGCTCCGCATAACGCATCCAAAGTCAATGGGCGAACGGCGGAAAGGATAAGCAGCAAGACTTTTCTGGTCTTCAAAGGCAATACTCTACCATACAAGAGTTTTTCGTAGACGTCTTCGAGCTTGGTGGTGGCCAAGATGGCTTCGATCTGACCCATTGAGATTCCGTCAACCTCCGCTTCTTTCACGATATTCATGTCCAAAGACACCCAAAGGAAAGTGTAATCAGCACTGTTGATAAGCTGTTGTTCAAGTCGATGGAGAATGTCGGCAGATAGTTCAGACCGTCGACCCAGATCCGAAACTTTTGATACAACGAATTGAGCGATATCCTTCGCAACGGAGCCACTCTCTTCCTCAGCACTGAGCCTGAAACTGCTAGACTCTTCGCTATACTGTAAGCCAATGTTGTGGCTTCCATTGTCTGACCGGAGTCCGAACCTTCTTTCGATAGAGTTGAGGGGTCGGCTTAGGAGAATGATCTTACAGGTCGGCCTTGGTTTGATGGGCACTGCGTTGCGAGACTGGACGAAGTCTGCCAGAGCTTTGATGAACTCGACCAGTGACTTCTCTTCGCACTCATCTAGGCCATCCAGTATCCACACCGCACTCTTCGTGTGAGGGTCTTCCATCGTCGCTAGAAGAATGGACCAGAGTGTAGAAAAGCAATTGAAGCTACTCTTTGGCATACTAGAGTATTTGACAATGGCGTGGTGTATTGATCGATGTTGTTTGGAGAAGAGTTGGTGAAGGACCGCTGAAACGGCCGAGTGTCCTTTGTCCTGGTGTTCTAGTCTTTCCTTGAAGAAGAAGCAGCAGACATGAGTATGAAGATATGCTCTGGAGGTTCGCTTCTGGAAAAAATCGACCAGATACTTCGCCGCCACCGACTTTCCACAGCCAACATCAGCTGTGATCCAAAGAAGAGCTGAGCCCGGTATCGAGTCCCATAAATTCCATATCTTATGTGAAGTGACCCATTCGCAAGTCTTGGCTATCGGGTAGTCTATCTGGTCAAGATGGTGTACGTAGGTTGAATTGAGTTCCTTTAGGCATGCCATCGCTAGCGGATCGAGGGCTTAGGTTACATTAGTCGACATGATGATAGTCAATGGCACTTGCCTTTAGCAACACTCACGGATATCGGTGCCTGATGCTAAGTCCCCCAATGCCTCGCGAATAGCGAGAGAAGCAGCCTTGTATCTCGAGTCTTCTGGTGACGGAAACTTGCAGATATCGAAATGATTGGCGTTCGAGGCAATGGGCAGCTCTTTTGGCCAATTCAACATGGCCGATTCTTTCTCAACGACCTGGAGACTTTGGTAAGCACATATGCATACATGACGATAAGGGAGGCTCCATGTCCTCGCGAGACTACGATATTTTGCAGTTCAAACCCTTCATTCGTACATTCTCATAGAAGCTTCTAACTTCGAAGTCTTCCCCGCGAGCTGCGAATGACTCCGGTACGCGCCTCAGAAACCTCGAATCGACCTTTGAACTGCTCGATAATTTGCTGTTGGTGACGTATCCAAGCGTGCTAGCCTTGACAATGAGAGTGCCGATTTCGTCCCAAGCAGCTAGGCTCGAGCCGTGATGCGGTGTGCCAAAGAAAACCACACCGTGAATATGGTCCAAGATACAGGAGTAGTGGCGGTCTTGCTCATGGGCCATGATTACGGCCTGAATCTGTCAGCAGAAGGTTTCGCGTGATTTGGAGAGCTGCGAAATCCTACGAAATGTTGCACAGGAAATGCGAAGAGAGGATAGGGTAAGAGCAAGAGACACTGCGTGTACCTGTTTGAAAGCCAGACCCCCGAGGCTATGGCAAATGAAAACTATGCGGCGCTGTCTTTCTTCTTCGCTTGTCCGCTGGGCTTTTAGTGCCCAAAGCGATTCGGAGGCAAAGTCTGGTATATCTGATTCGGATCGACTGAAATAGGTTTTGGAGTTATAGCCAAACGTCAACACCCGTGCCGCGGGTATGTCTCTTGGCAGGCACGAAGAGTCGCTCAACCACTGCAGTCTCGTTTCGGGGTCCGTCCATGTCTCTTCGCGGTGACCGTTGAGCCCGTGAATAGCTACAATATCCACGCAGCCTGACTTGTCCGACGGCTGCGGGACAAGGATCTTGATGCCGTGAGGGGATGCATCTGGTTTCTTTGCAGCGGTATGTGCAATGCGTCTACCCAGATTTCGTGCAGAGTCGGTCTCTTGCCTCGATGGTGCATTTAAGTTGCTCCGAAGATCGTCCTCTGTGGTTCCCGCAGTGTCCTCGGGGTGCGGAATACTCGTCTGAAAATCGGCGCCAGCATCTGGATGACTATCGTTGTTTTCGGAAGAGGGCTTGTCAGACTTGAACAGTGCCAATACCCGCGATCTGAAACCAATGATCGAAAAATCAGCAAGAAATATGATGGTTTGCGACTCTGAAAGAGCATCACTCAGGGGAATCGAAACATGTGGCCAGGCTGAAGTTCGACGACAAAAAAGAAACCAACAAACTGCCTGCTTGGGGTGTGTCTTTGCACTGCCCAGGGCACCAACGTGCAGGAGCGAAGCTAACGCCCCTGTTGCAAAACTTGATTACATGGTGTTGAGAGCCTGCCGAGAAAATTGCCTGCTGCGGTTGCCTCAGTGTTGAGTGACCTTGCGGCGAGGAGGAGGAGGAGGAGGAGGAGGAGCCAGGCAAGTTCAAGGCAGGCTGGGCAGGCGCTTGTCCTGTTATTTCTGCATGGGCGGCAATTCCAGCCACCCAATCAGAACATTCTATACGCTGAAAATTATACATGCTTTGATAATTGACACCAGCGAATTGAGTGGGTGGTGACTCGGCCTGAGTGCATGGAGGATGGCCCAGTCCAAGGACCATGATCTTTAGCCACATCAGTCTCAAGATAAACCTATAGCTGCGCATTGGCCGAGTGGTTATTATCGATAATGAAGTAGGTATATACAGCCAACTGAAATCAATGCGAAAGCCGACTGTAACAACTAGAATAAGAAGACAATAGCAGGTCACAATGATGGATCTGAACAAAACCAACTTGAAGTGCCACATGACAGCGATGTCCTCGTTTATGTTCCCAAGGTGGCCAAAAGCCGCTACCTATAATCGTGTTCGTTCCTCGTTATCCCTAGATGCTCTATCAACGGGATGTCAAGCATGAGCCCTCTGATCAACCCAACGCCGGATGCCCAGTTGTTGTCCAAGTTACGCCATGCATCCAATGCTATCGAATCGGTATTACAATGAAGATCAAGAAAAAAGGGGTATTTCATCAAACCGCAAAACCAAGTTGATCCCTCTCATCATCCACAAGTCGTCCCCATTCCAGCAGTAGCCGGAACATGTAAACACGCATGTCCTCTCTCCGGAGCGCCCTGCGGCTCCACACCCTGCCTTCTTCCGCAATGGCCTCCGCTCGCCTCTGGCCTTCCGTGTCAATTCCAAAGTACGACAGGAGATCCCACAGCTCGTGGAGTCGCACATCGACGGGGACGTAGTGACGCCACGCATGGACTCTCTCGTTGAACCAAGTCCGGAAGAGGCCGGAGCGGTATACGAGACTCTTGCTGCGGAGGAAGGGGATGAAGCGCCCGCTGAATCCCGCGCCGTCGAGATCCATCAGGTGTGCGTACTTCCAATGGTCTGTGAAGGGGACCTGGGACTTGTCGGGTGAGTCCTGGCCGATGCCCCAGAAAGTATCCTTTTCGCTCTGGCAGTCCTCTCTGTGGCACTTGGTCCACCTGCTCACGAAGCCAACGTCAAAATTGGGCAGCTCATCCGGTCCCAAGACTTGTGTCCGACCATCCTGTTGGAGTTTGGCAACCCTCATGATCGTATTTGCAGCATGGACGAACCGAGCCCTGAGGAAGCCCTGCCACGTGCCCCAGGCTGCGTACCCATCCGACGATGACCCCCTCCAGAACATGGTGTTCTTCTTCTTGCTCCATTCCATGTCCTCGTTCTCATCATACGCGGCCTTGTCATCGTAATTCCAAGGCGAAGGCACCAAAATATCGGCAAACCCTGATGTCCTGCTTTGACTGAACACAGGAAACGCGTCTCTGGTGAAGAGGGCCGGCGCAGGAGACAATAGAAATCCGTGCAGGTAGGCCAAGTCTGGTTGGTGGCACAAGTCTGTCGCCGAGGTCCAGTTCGACACAACGGGGTTCTCGAGCGCCTCGAAGACGCGGATGGCATGCGGCAGGAGGCATCCATGACATGCCTCCTTGCGGCTCCACCATCTCGTATTCCGGGCGGCAGAGTCAGGCGGACAGGTTGGAGCAACAAAGTCATAGTAGCTTTGATCGCGGATGCGGTCTTCGAAGAAGGGAGACCGTTGCTCAGGTCCCTTGACAGCATCGTCGTCGCCCCAGACTGCTGACTTGGATCTATCAAACGTCTTCCGATTCTTCGTATGGAGTAGCTTCGTCCTCGATTCCAAGCCAACGCTATGAAGCCCAGACATGTCTTCGAATGGGATCGCCACGCGAGGCTCGTCGTTCAGATTGATGGCAAAGTCCATGTCGGGGAGGTGCTCGGCAAAGCCCTCAATCATGTTCTTCATAGAAGTCATCATCCACATGTGAGATCCAGGCGTACCGGGAGCCACGTTGACCTTTCCCCCACGAATCCGAATGCCTCCCATGCCAAGCCACGGGATCTCCAAGGAATGCTTGGTGCGATCTCGTAGGGCCTTTGGCGCAACGCCCCAAAACGGAAGTAAATCGTCGTTGATCTGGGTGAAATCGTCGATGATGGGCGAATCGTTGGCGACAGCGTATTCGAACCACTTGTCGAAGTTTGGAGGCGGCGCCACACCATAACGCTGTTGATATTCGTTGGCCGCGGCCTCGAGGGTGGAACTCTGATTCGCTCTCGCGATCCAGGTGTCAGATTTGGTATTGGCGGCAGAAAGGAGATCGGGGAAGGATAGGGTATCGGTTGAGTTGAAGTCCGGGTAGAAGATGAGGTAGGTTCCACAGAGGACGCCAACGAGGACAACGTACCACATCAAGAGAAACCTGATGAGTCGTGGATCTCCCGGCGAAGACCCAGGGGCATTAGCGATATCTTTTTCGTATCGCAAAAGGAGGCCGACGCCGACTATCGTAAGACCACTAGCTATCATGTAGGGCAGAGAGCCGACCATGGGTAGCGCGGCCTGCAGCATGCGGACGAGCTGATGGGCATAAACGCCTGAAGCCGTGACAATCATCCCCAACGTGCTAGGATGCATGTCACTCATGACATAGAATCCCAAAATTAGCCCCAGGGACGCCACCGTGCTGTCCGTCAGCAGATCTCTAATTTCGACAAAGTGCAGACCAAACGCCCAACGGGTGTTTCGAGCATTGTGGAGGGAGAAGCAGGCAAGCAAAACCAGAACACCTGCGGACCCTAGAAAGAGTCTTGACACGAATCCCCAGGCCTGCGGCGCATCGTCCACAGTGTCCTGACGCCATTTCGAGAGGTAGAACAGCAGCAGCGCATCCAAAATGACAATGACGACCTGGGCTATGGGGATCTGTCTCTCCCACCGAAGCAAGCCTGCGGGGCATATTGCGCCGGCCGACTGTGTTGATAGGGCGAGCGTGGCCCTTGTGGCGCAGGCCCAAACGATGGCGATGATGAAGTAGCGCAAGTGAGCAACATTGCAGCACCGTGGGGATCGAGCTTGGTCGCCATTGTGTTGGTGGAGTCGTATGGTGGAGGGAGAAACCGTTGTGTAAAGGACGACAAGAGCTGGGAGAAATACCTGTACACGGCATGTTAGTATCTTTATAGTCATGGGAATTCTTCAGCATTGCGATAGCTATTAGTCTACGAACCTCGAAGCTCTCCCAAGAGCAGTGAATCGTGCGAATGGTGCGCCAAAAGAGCAGCGATCGCACGATAATAGCGCATCCTAGGAAGAAGTAGGGTGACAACAAGAACCGAGGATTGCGCGCGACATCAATGCCGGCTTGAAGGCGTCTTTGCCAGTCATTTTTCGAGGTTGAGAAGGTCGCGAGTTGATATCCGCTGCTGCTCGCACTTTTCCAGGGCGAGAGCTGTCTACACCATATTGCGATGAAAAGGCCGGATTCGAAGAGCGTCAAGATGGAGAAGTGTATTGGCCGCTCTGCTTAGTGTTAGCAATTGTTGTCTATGCGATGGTTGTGTCGCAATCTGTAAATGAAGTAGAGTCAAGAAAGAGTCCGTGGGTTTACTGACCAAAAGCAGCGCTGCTGTTAAAGCGTGAGGATATCCATGCTGTGCATGCAAGTAACAGAATACTGGGAACAGAGTTAATGTCAGCAATGTCACTGGCGCAAACCCAACTACGATTGAGCGAGACATGGGAGAAATTGTGTCAAAAAGCTGCAGATTTGAGACTTTTTCTGATGCCATCTGAGACCACATAGAAGGTAGGATGAGGTAGTACAGCAAGGAATGAGGGCGTTAACTCACCAAGCCGCCAAGATGCCATGTCTCTTCAGCGGGGCCGCCATCGGCCTTTGTCAACTTGCCCTACCCAGCGCCGGCTTGGCAAGCGGAGAGACGTCGACTCCAGATGTAACGGAATAAATGGATGACGGGGGAGTGATCTGGGATGCGAGAAGAAGAACCAAAGAAGGATGCCAAAAGGATCATGCTACTGTAAGGTAAGCAAAATCCAATGCGACCATGACGTTCCTTGATCCAATTCAACACTCGGAGGCAGATGGGACTTTGCTTGAGTGTGGTGTAGCAATGCGCGCCTATGGAAAGATGGAAGCGGCAGGCAAGGTAGGTAAGCTGACGGGGGATTTAAGGCCAAAGCAAGGTCAAAGCTGAACCAAGCCAAGATCAGAAATAGAGAAAGGGAAGAGAGAGAACAAGGACAAAGACGGGGGATGGGGGAAGAAGGAATAGAAGAAACATGCAAGACAAGGCCGGCTTGAGGGTAGTGCTTCCTGAAGAATGGCTAGCGTACGCCCGACACACACACGAGTGACAAACAGAGACGTCCACCCGATGGGATATTTTGATACAGAGAGGATCAGGTATCTGGTATCTTGGGGCAATGGGGGGCCTGCTTGGCTGCAGTCGCTACTGTAGGCAAACACGCAGACGAGAAGGGAAGCAAGCAACCACCAACGACTACTGCCAAGTGCCAAACCTTTCCTCTTTCCCACCATTTGGTTAGAACTCGGGCAACTTGGAGGGGCTGGGAGAGTCCATCCAGCGTTTGCTGTGCCTTCTTTCTATCTCTGACCAAGGTACGGGCCAATCATGTTCTAGCGGGCCGCCCGTCCAGTACGGCGTAGCATTCTACCGTCATTGTGCCGTACAGCCGGTCCACACACGAGGGTGCACCAAGAACCTTGGTTGGAAGCTGCAAATCCCCGCCGATAGTCTTTCGCCCGTATCGTGTCGAACACTGGTCCATAGTCAATGGTCGTCCAAGGAACGTAGCGTGGGACGCGACAGGTCGGGATGCGTATGGGCCTTGGCCTGGGCCTGGGCCTGTGTTGTCGCTTCGCTACGGAGACTGCGTACAAACGGGGCCGTTTGTATACCGGGGTTGAAGAATATGAAGAAGTGGTACGGAGTATGGAGTACAAGAAAAAAAAACGGGAAAGACTACCAGACGAAAGCATGGCGTCATGGGCGCAGCTTTCTGTAACGGTTGATGTGGCTTTCCCAGGTACGGGATGCGTAAGTACTCAGGTCCGTACCTTACGTTAGCTAACGGGCCATTAAGCCATGCCCAAGTGACTGGATCCGGCAGAGAGAATAAGAATAGGAGTCGATTCCTTACATTTTACTTTTGAGATGAATCCGGAGGGATGCTTTCTGCACGGCCACAGACGTACGTGTACCTCGTACCGCACATATTGGTCCTTGGTGAAAGCGGCTGTGGTTGTGTGTGGAGAAAAAAGAAAGGAATCAATGCGACTCATGGGCAATGCTTGCCCTCCGGCTCCATCCCTCGACATTCCGATCTGCGGGCCCGGTGGACCTGACTTGCTTTGCTTTGCTGCCATGTTTTGGACCAGAAATCCGTATCCGTAGTTCTGGGAGAACACAATAGACGAAAGGAAAGCTGGTAAGATTTGAGATGAACGATGTTGATCAGAGTTGGGATGTCATGTGCGAAAATGAGGGAAGGACGAAAGTTCAAGTACTCACCATTCACCTACTGATACAAACACGAGTTCCGGGTTATTTTGCAACTTGCACGGACACTAGGAACTCAATATGTCAACCAATGTCGTGCGGAGAAATCAAGTGATGAATCCTTCTGCCTATTTCAATACCATGGTACCCCAGCTGTCATTGGCTTTCCGCGTCGATCATGCACCAGGAAACCTTCCTTCTCGCCAGCCAACGGTACCGCGAAGCTTATTGTCGTCAATTCTGAGCCGCATCTTTCCCATGTAGGTATTACACCATGCCTTACCGTCCGATACGGTAGGGCCAAGAAAGCCTCACATTTCAGCTGCATGTCAAGCTCATGACCTCGTCTTGTCTGAAGCCGGTCTCTTGCTCATCGGGAGCATCAAATCTGTGAAGACCACCTTTTCCGGCCATCGCGAATGGTGTCGACATCCTGTCAAATCACACTACAATTGTCGAAACCCGCCAACGGACGCTCGATTTGTTCATGACACTGCCATTGATTCATTCAGCCCAAGATTGATTCCCCCGGTCTATGGTATTCACTTTTTGTCTTTCACCCAACGTCAACATGCGAATATGACTTTTTTCTTGCTCTCTCTTGACCTCCCATTCCTGCCGAGAAAATCCTCATGTGCTGCCATCACTGGCGTGTCGTTTAGGCGCGCTGCCGTTGTCTGGGAGCAGCGCGAATGATGTCGTCTACACGAAGAAGAAGCTATTATGTGTTAGTCGCTTATCCCAGATATCATCTCACAACCAACATCAATGGCATCACTAAAGGGGGGGCACGTACCTCGGCTGCCTCACTGGCAGACGAAACAACCGCTCTCTTCAGCTTGTAACTCTCAACGACCCCCAAGTCGCGCATGTCGGTGATGCCACCGCCGGGCGACAGCAGGTCCAATCCATAATTCGTCATGCCGTCGTAAATCGCCTTTCTCAGACGGGCCACAAGCTCGCCAGAGTCGAGACCTGCGTTGTCGGCCAGAATGGTCGGCAGCTGGCGCAGCGCAGTCGCAAAGCTGCTGACAGCCATCTGCTTCTTGCCCTCAACGCGAGTGGCGGCACCCTCGACGGCCTTGGCCATGACCATCTCAGCACATCCACCACCCAGAGTGGTCCACGGCTCCTTCACCGTCTGTGACAGGACGGCAAGGGCGTCGTGCAGACTGCGCTCTGCCTCGTCCAGAAGCTGATCTGTGGCACCACGCAGCACAATGGTGCATGCCTCGCCGGCAGCAACACCAGAGAACTTGATCAAGGTGTCCTCGCCAATGATGACTTCCTCAATAAGCTCGCATTGTCCCAACTTGACCTGGTCGGGGTGGTCGAAAGTAGAGGCAATCTCACCGCCCGTCACCAACGCCAATCTCTCAATACCGTCAAAGTCGGCGTGCTCGATAGACATGATGCCGGCGTCTGTGAACAGCTGCTCGGGCCAGTTGTAGATGAGTTGTCTGTTGATGAAGCAGTTAATGCCGTGCGACTTGATCTTCTCCACCTTTGCCTTCATCTTCTCCTTCTCAGCCTTCTCGAGGTCGGCCAGCTTGCTCGTCGTTGACACCTTGACGCGAGCGCCAAAGATCTTGATCTTGTCCGTGTCCATAGAGGTGTTGGCGACCAGGATCTTGGCCTTCTCGAGGCGCTTGGGCTGGTTGACGCCAATCTTCTTGTCGAGAATGAAACCCTCGTCGAGGTACGAGTCACTCAGCTTGCCACCGGCCTTCTTGATGATCTGGATATGGCTAAGATCGGAGGAGTTCTTGAGTCGCAGCACGGCATCGCAGGCAAGCTTGGAGAAGTGGTCGCGGTCCTGGGCCAGAACCTTGGAGCTGAGGGTTGTGCGGGCAATGGCCCGCAGGTCTTTTCTGAATGCCTCGGGAGTGTTGCTGCGGTCGACGGCTGACTCCTTCAGGGCCTTGAGGGCGGCCTGGCTTGCTATCCGGTATCCCTCGATAATGGTCTGGGGGTGGATCTTCTTGTCGACGAGCTTCTCAGCTTCGCGCAGAAGCTCGGCCGCAAGAACAGCGACGGAGGTGGTACCATCACCGACCTCATCGTCCTGGACCTTGGAAATGTTTACCAGCACCTTGGCCGCCGCGTTGTCGAGAGCAATAGACTTCAAAATGGTAGCGCCGTCGTTCGTGACCATGATCTCGCCAGTCGATCTGGACGTTTGTCAGCCATGTCAGTGGATCAAAGCGGTAAATGGGGGGTTATTGAAATTGGCGGGGTTCAACATACGCAGACTGCAGAATCTTGTCCATACCCTTGGGGCCGAGGGTGCTCTTGACGAGGTCACCGACGGCGATGGCGCCAACGAAGGCGGAGAGACGGGCATTCTCTCCCTTCTCCTCGGTGGTTCCGTCCTCGAAGATTTGTGTCGGGCTGAAGGACGACTAGAGGGGCACACATTTATTAGCGTCTTAAGTCACGTACGAGGGAACACGGGTGTTTGAGACGAACCATGGTGAATGTGTGTTATGCAGACACTCTGTATCGAAAGTCGAATCGGTGACTGGGTGGGTGGGGGGAAGCAGAGGTATCTAGGTTGTGCGGAATCCTCAGCCTTGGGAGAGCTTCACCGAGAAAATCGTCGTAGAAAATTTGGGGGGGTTCAGCCTGGCGAAGTGGGGTGTGCTGGGCAGGAGCTTCCAGGCAGTGGTGGTCAGCGAAGCAGAGCTGCTGTGGTGTTTCTACAGACGTCCATCCTCCACTGTAGCAGTTGCCAGTGACCAGTGCGCGCCACCGCTCATGGCAGCAATTGGCACCTGGCGGGGTTGTATCTTATCGGGGAAGCTTCTCTGGGCGGTGAGAGACCCTGAAGCAGTCCGATTGAGAAAGCGTGCCTGTCGGTGACAAACGGCAGAATTACCACGTGACTCTCATAGAGGTGGCAGTCGCGACCTGACTGCGAGGTACCTTAGGTAAGGTACCTCAGGTACGGCGGCACTTCAGGTAGCGAGGGGCTTTCTCCGGGGCCGGAACAACCGAATGATCCAGCCCACACGAATCTGCCATATCGCCAAAAACTTTCCAAAACGAGGTCCAAATTGTGTGCGCGATAGTTGTTTGTTCTCCCTTTGCCACCCCTGTAGAAATCCCCATCAAGACGTGAAATCCATCTGGTCGATAAACCGCTAGCATCCAGATCTCCAGAACCGTTTCGTAGAGTTTGCACCGGATTTGCCCTGCACCCAGAGCCACATTGAAGCGCTCCGCAAGCCCAAAACCCTCACAAAAAAACCGAGAAAATCGCGGGGCACTTTTCAACCACTGGAAAGCCACCCCGACCCCACTCTATTTGGCACCTCTTTTTTTCCTCCCACCACAGAAAGGCCATCGCAACGCTTCCTCACCGAGAGACACGCACCCCCTTCCCCTTCCGTCCCCCGATCCGAAGAAATTACCAACCGCCACACCTCGACTGTTGACTGATCCAGTCGTCGCAATCATGGCGCCTTCTTTCGACCATCTGCGCGAGGCAGATCTCGACGACGACGAGTACGATGAGGAGGAGATCGACATCTCTGACCTGCGCGAAAAGTACGAGGTTCAGCTGGAGCAGGGATACGACACCTTCGTGGTCATTGATGGCCTTCCCGAAGTCAACGAGGATCAGAAGCCCAAGCTGGTCAAGTTCTTGCTGAAGAAGCTGAACTCTGTTGGAAAGACGAGAGAGGACCTGATTTACATGCCCATGGGCGACAATGGAAAGTCGCTGAGGTACGTTTGGCCTAGTGGATCCCCATCTCGGATCTGATCCAAAGAGATGGAGGTCGCGCTCGAGACAAAACAGCGATGCTGACGATGACCGCTCAGATTTGCCTTTGTCGAGTACTCCTCCCCCAGCGAGGCCGCCGCTGCCGTTCGTGGACTCGACCAGGTCCCTCTCGACAAGAAGCACACCCTCCGTGTCAACAAGCTCACCGATGTCGACCGCTACGGCCGCGAAGGCAAGGTCCACGAGGAGTACACCCCGCCTCACATTGAGGAGTTCACCGAGACCGAGCACCTGAGATCATTCATGAAGGACCCCAGCGGACGTGGAAGAGACCAGTTCGCCATGTACCGCGGCGACACCGTCGGCGTCTTCTGGAACAACGAGAAGGACGTCCCCGAGAACGTTGTTGACCGTCAAAACTGGACAGACAGCTTCATCCGGTGGTCACCACAGGGAACCTACCTCACCTCGGTCCACGCCCAGGGTGTTCAGACTTGGGGCGGCCCGTCATGGTCAAGGCAGAAGCGTTTCCCCCACCCCTTCGTCACCTTTGTCGACTGGTCTCCTTCCGAGAAGTACCTGGTGACATGGTCTGCTCGCCCCATCTCCATCCCCGACGAGGGCCACCCGGCCTTGTCTGTCGATGACGATGGCAAGAACTACGTTATCTGGAGTGTTGAGTCTGGCAAGCCTATCCGTTCCTTCGCCAACCTGGATATGGAGGGTATGGACGAGGCAAAGCAGCGCAAGCTGCTCTGGCCCGCTTTCAAGTGGTCCGCCGATGACAAGTACGTCGCGCGTCTCAACTACCAGACTGGTATCTCCGTCTACGAGCTCCCCCGCATGAACCTCCTCGACAAGACTTCTATCAAGATCGAGGGTATCATGGAGTTCGACTGGGCCCCGGCTAGCGTTCAAAGAGAAGGTATCAAGACGTACGAGCAGCTTCTTACCTACTGGACACCCGAAATTGGCAGCAACCCCGCCAAGGTCGGTCTTATGAGCATCCCCAGCAAGGAGGTTGTCCGTCAACTGCCCCTCTTCAGCGTTTCTGACGCCAAGCTCCACTGGCAATCCGATGCCTCATACCTCTGCGTCAAGGTCGACCGTCACTCTAAGTCCAAGAAATCCCAGGCCACCACTCTCGAGATCTTCCGCATCAAGGAGAAGGGCGTTCCCGTCGAGGTTGTCGACACCATCAAGGACACAGTCATTAACTTTGCCTGGGAGCCCAAGGGTGACAGATTCGTCATTATCACGACAACGGAGCCCGTCGGCGCTGTCGCCGTCGCCCCCAAGACCTCCGTCTCCTTCTTCTGCCCCGAGAAGGCCAAGGGCAACGTCGTTGGCAACTTCAAGCACCTCCGCACCCTGGAGAAGAAGAACAGCAACGCCATCTACTGGTCCCCCCGCGGTAGATTCGTCGTTATCGCCACCGTCCACAACCAGCAGAGCTCCGACCTTGACTTCTTCGACCTCGACTTTGAGGGCGAGAAGCCCGAGTCAGACAAGGACCTGACCGCTAACCTCCAGCTCATGAACACTGGTGACCACTACGGTGTCACCGACATTGAGTGGGACCCATCAGGACGTTTCGTCGCCACCTGGGCCTCCGCTTGGAAGCACTCTGTACGTTGTCATGCTCTCTCCCCTGGTTGAACGAATGCAATTCTAACAAACCTGACTATAGATGGAAAACGGATACCACATCTACGACTTCAAGGGTGAGGCTCTCCGCGAGGAGCCCATTGAGAAGTTCAAGCAGCTCGCGTGGCGCCCCCGCCCCCCGACGCTGCTCACCAAGGAGGAGCAGAAGCAGATCCGCAAGAACCTGCGCGAGTACAGCCGCGTCTTCGAGCAGGAGGATATGGACCGTGGTGCGTCCGCCGACCGCGAGGTCGTCGAGGCCCGCCGCCGCCAGCTCGCCGAGTGGGTCGCTTGGCGCGAGTCCATCGAGGAGGAGGTCGCCGAGGAGCGCAAGGACCTCGGCCTGCCCTTGGACATTGTCGCCTACCTCCTCTCCCAGAAGACACAGGCCAGCGAGGGCGAGGAGCAGATCATTGAGGAGATTGTGGAGGAGGTTCTCGAGGAGACGGAGGAGATTGTCAACTAAAAGGGGTAGTTACAACAGACAAAAGGGATGACATGACGTAAGGAGGGTTCATGGGGAGATTTTTTCGTTGTGTGTTTTTTAGATGAGGACGGAAGCAACCAGCCATCGTCCGCCCACAAGTTGTCGCAGTTCCTGGAAAAAGAAAGCCAAAAAGGGGGCCATGATGAGGAGTGAAAAGTCTAAAGGGGGCCCGTCACAACAAGCCTTTCCCAGTTGTTTTCTCATTTGGGCGGTCAGGTGAAGTTGAGGCATCTGCACAGGAAGGTTAATTCACGGATTTGAAGACACACATATTGCATGCTGCTTGTGAGTGTAAGTGAAGTCATGTTTTTTCAATATGTTTCCCTTGACGTTGCGCTTGTATATCTCGGCGATGGCATATACCACCAAAAAAGTCCAAGGTATAGATGCTCTTGGAATGGATACTCTTGCAGAATCAAAGGTAATCAGACCTCACATGAATAACATCGAATGGATATCTGAACTCAGATGAATCATAACCTTTGACATGAGGCAAGTCATATCTGCCTCTCGAAGGATCCTTGGAGTCCGTGTCAAGTAGGCAAGACACATCGCAGCGACAGTCACGACTGTCTCACGTTATCATGATGGATTTGAAGATCAAACTGAGATTGTAAATGCTAGCGCACACATGAATTCTTCTACAATACGACTATGATACGAATGGGATATCAAAGAGGTGATCGACACCTCTGAAAAAAAGTCATGAACCCCGCCCGGTTCAAGAAAAGAAAACAAGATGCGGATCGCTAGCGACGCCAGAAAATGTTTGATGCTAAACCCCCAACCCCCAAGATCGTCTTACAGGGCAAACGACGTGCCTCTACACGATGACGGTGCAGAACCAAGACAGGTCATATCCTCTATCTGGGAACGTCTATGGTCCCAGAAGAAACACAAACATTGTTTTATCCGCAGGGAAAGCCGGGCCTGCCATGTTCCGCATGGTCAAGTTCCTCGGCACCCAGCGTCTGTATATCTACATGCCACAATAAGATTGTCTGTCTTTGTCCGTGAAGATGCTCGCGCACTGCGAAACACCTAGGCGACAGATAAGAATAGTATATATCCCGTACAGGTAAAGACACGAAAAAAAGACACAAAAAAGGTTGCTACAAAAACCAGCTCCCACAGGAAATGTCCATCGCGCCGCAGACGCCGGTTGCTCTTTATACACGCCCAATAGAAGACAGCTTGCAGCCGACTGCCTCATGTGAGCTTAGTTGAGTGTTGTTGGTTTTTCGGTGTATGTGCGATTGCCTCCGATGGAAGGGCCGGTACGACCCCGGCCCAGGAGATTAGATATAAACAGTTAAGATCATGTCGTATTTTTCCAAAGCCGAAATATTCATCAAGCGTAAAAGGATTTTTCAATACGAGACCGTTCGGAACAGACTAGGCTTTGCCCGCTTCCCGAACGGATCGCATCCACTGGTCCTCGGCACCATCGTCGCCAACTACAGCCTTACGGCCATCCTTGTTGGCGCCGCTTTCGACCAGCTTCTTGGCTTCACCAGCCGACTTGGCGCCAAGGAGAGCCATTTCGTGGCGCATGAGCGTAGCAACAGCGGCTCGTACCAAGACTGCGTCACCTTCAAAGACGTACACGTCCCACAGGCGGGCGGCTTCGTCCATGGCCAGATGTGTGGTTCCGAGTCCCATGAAGAAGTTGCCGAGGTAGAAATCCGCATCGCCCTCGGGAATGTCCTTGGTCAGGTGCTCGTGAAGACGGGGAGCCTTGACGCTCAAAGTCTGCATGACTAGGTTGTAGGCTGAAGCCTTCGCACCGGGGTCTTCTGAGTAGAAGCTCAGAGGCAACGGGCGGTTCAGGACGTTGGCGAGGGCAATGAATGTTGCGGACGGCGAGGGAAGGTTCAGTAACAGAAGGGCGGCGACGGTCTGCAAAGAGTTAGTTTCTGATATCACCAAATTGATGTTTGTGAGGCCCGAGGTTAACTTACGTTGCAGCCCTTGACGTAGCCGATATCGCTCCGGTACAGCGCATAGGCGAACAAGACGTCAACAAGGCTCTGGTGAAGTGGCCCGCCGACTTGGAAAATTCGAAGATCCTGCCATGTGTGTTCGGCCACGTCTTTACGGATAGCAGATAGCCAAGCGGCTCTCTGGATATCCTCCGAATCGCCCTTGCCAGCCTTGACTCGCTCCTCGAGCTCCTGGGACCGGCCGAGAGCGGCCTTGTAGGACTTTTCCGACAGGCCAAGTTCGTTGCCAATGGCCCTGGACCAAACCTGACCTCTGCTGCGCGGAGCGATACCCTTCCACCACAACTCACGGGTGCGACGTTCGCGGATTGCGTCGTTCCATCTCGGGATGATGTCGTCCTCCCAAATGTGCATCAAGCTGTCGACCTTCAGATCGCGTGAAGATTTCCGCGCCAGACGTGAAGCTTCACGGCGGCGATCTGCCTCGGCGCTGCGTGCCATCATCTTTTTGTATTCACGCAGATGACGCTTCTCTTCCGCGGGATCCTTGGGAGGAAGCCATGAAGGTCTTGTGCGGCTGAGTACAGCCTCCTTTTCCTTAGAAACCGGGAGTGGGTCGATCATGATGTTGGTTTGACTCCGGAGTGAAGGGAGTTCGGGAAGAGCGGACTTGACGCGGGGCTTCTGGGCGTGCTGCTCGAGAGATTTGCCATTCCACGTGTGACGTCCGGTAGGGTTGGCATTTTCAGCAGCCTTTTCACGCACAGAATCCGAGTGCTCCTCGAGCTTCTCCGTTAAGTCCTTGGCATCGGCATTGAGTTCTGCCAATGCGAGGTTCCAACTTCTCGCGCGAGTCTTGAGCGGTTCAGGCCCACGCTCGCCGATAGAAGACAGAGCGGTGTCAGACTTCCACGATGGTGAACGCAAACATCCCGTCTCAACTGGGATTGGAGATGTTCCATTACCGACACTACGGACACGTTCCTTTGGCGGCCTGTTAGGCGATGCTCCAGAGGAAGTCGGTCTGCTTGGTGTGCGCTCAAGCTTGGGTCTAGGAGAGATGGGAACATTGTCGAGAATAAGGCCATCGGGAATGTCGTCTGTGTCATCCTCATCGCACTCTTTTTCCAGCTCAAATGTCGATTTTCTGTCTTGGTTCGACTGCCAGCTGCCCCGACGGGGTTTCAGGGGTACATTTGGGTCTCTCGGCAATAGTGAGAAGTTCGGGCTCGGGCTGCGATTCTTGCGAGGGAATTGAAGGGAAGTCGTCGAGTGGCTCGCGAAGCCTCGAGGGTTTACCGGGTTCACCGGGCTTCGACGGGGATCGGAAAGGCGGCCAGCGCTTGGGCTGCGGCGGTTGAGAATGTGGCTGTCGGTTTTCAAGCTCAAGAAAGGGGGTCGCGAGGAACCGCGAGAGTGGGGAGCGAGGTCTGCCGTGGGACCTGTGCTTCTAGGCTTCGCAAGGTCTCGTGTCATCGGCGGAGAGCGAGAATGGGGTGGTTTCCATGACGGAGGGCGGAAGTCGTTGGAGTAGGATCTCGAGTAAGGTTGAGAAGGCTTCGAATGGGACTCGCGAACGCGTTGTGTGTCGTAATGAGAAGCATCGTCGTCTAGACCGATTTCTTCAAAGTGACTAACGTCGTCCAGGACGCTATTGTCGTCGGAATGGAAGGACTTGAAGGAAGAGGACTTTGACGACTTTGAGGACGTCATACCTGGCGGTGAACCTGGACTGGGACCCGCGAGATCAACGTCTTGATGCCCGTATATCATCATTGCATCGCCGAGTATCGAGGAGAAGGAAAAGGAAGGAAACGAAAGGGAGTAGGAGAAAACAGGACAAAAAGCTTGTTTGGCTGTGTCTCTGGTCGAGATTGTCGTGGCCAGGCCTTGGGAAAACGGGGCAACAGTCCAGAAGAGGGTGGATGGTGGAGGGTCCCTTGGGCAGGTTGCTTGGGAGTCGGGACCTGGGTCTTGGTGCGGGTGCGTGGAGCAAGGGAAATGGACCAGGCTATGCTGTAATGATTGCTGGGATCTAGGCGTTGGAACCTTGAGGTGGGAGAGTGGTTGCGGGTTGCGCGGGTGGTTCGCAAGGCGCAATTATGCGTAGCGGGCAATCCCTGGCTCAGGGCTTGGCTGGTGCTTGGTCGTCTTTCTTTCTGACGAGGGATGATGAGACGAGACGAAGGCAGACTGTCTGTGGGGAGGGACCCCTTGATGCTCAGTGTGTGCGAAAGCCCAGGTGAAGTGTCTCGAAATGGCCGGGATAGTGACGGCGGGGTGGCCGGTTGTCAAGGTCACAGGACGTGTTGTATCGACAGCACGCAGTGACGGGAGTATGCGTCGTCAATCAGGACAAGATGGGATGATGACAGCTGAAAGCGTTGGCCTCGGGTTCGGTTATTGATATTGTACGGGACTTGTTGTATGGTATGATACGCGATGGAGGAAGAATGTGCGTGTTGGCGGTTGTTGGTTGTTGGTGCGGTCGAGTGAACGAATGTACGGATACGGATAGAGGAAACAGCGATGTATAGTCCGTGAACGGCGACAATCTAGCAGTAAGAAGTGCGGTAATAGTTACTGGTGCGGTATAGTGAGGTCTAAGGTATGAATGCGTTTGTTGGCAAGGTGAGGTAGCGAGCGACGGTATGTAATAGTGTATGAAGACCCGGACAATAATGCAGAGGTGTCAATTGACGGGCACGGACGGGATAGGGCTAGAGGGGGTGAGTGAAACGAAAGGGATCCAAGGAATACTAAGGCAAGGTGAAAGTAGCGAGCGTGGGATGATGGATGGGATGCCAGATGAGACTCGAGACTCCGAGAGGTAGACAGATGACGAGGCGAGCCACAAGACTTTCGAAATGGCAGAGGATAGTGGGAAAAAAAAAGATGACGGGAGATGAGGAGGGGTGAAGACGCAATGGGCAATTGGGTAGAGCCGAAATGACGGCAGATTGGAGAGAGCAAGCAAATGAGCGGCAAATCAACGATGAGTTGAGCTATGCATACAGCAGACAAGAGTGAGGTGAGCAGGGGCAGGGAAGGCAGCGGACGAGACAGGACGAACAACCTTCCGGCGGTGTTGTCGAAGAAAAAGCCAGGGCAAAACGGGGCAAAAGGGGGGGAGGGAAAACAGGATCCGATGCAGATGCCAATGGGGAAGAATCAAGGAGAGAGGGACGGGATAGGGATCATGGATGGGAGGAGTTTGAAGAGACACGGAGACTCGCGAGTGAGGGAGAGGTGGACGTGGAGAAGTTTTTCTTCCCCCCTTTCTGATTGGGGGCGGAGACGTCGGCGGTACCTGGAGGGAACGTATCTTTTCCCCCCTTCCATCCTCACCTCTCTCACCTTCCTGAGTACCTACAGAAGTACGGATATTCCCAGGTCTTCCGCACTTAAGGTGAAGAAGATACTTAGGGTAGGTATCTCGATTCTATTTCCACAACGGGTACGTACTCTGCTAGTGGTCAAAAAGACTGCAGAGCGCAATGTCCGCGGTGCATGTACACAACACTAACATGTTCTATGAGAGAATACTCCTCCATGAATCCCAGAAATCCTGACTCCCAGCAGCGTGATAAACAAGAGTTGCAATCATGATCCCAATTTATGCAGGCGGCAGATTGGACGAATGCAGGCTGTGTGCAAGTGGGTGTGGTAGCCCTGGATCATCACTGCAGCCATCCAGCTGGGAAACCGAAGAAGAGAACAGGCTCTCTGTCTGGCTGCAGAACCTCGCGCGAAACATGGCACACAGAACCTCGCTGTGAAGCTGCATGGGAGGGTGGGAGGTTAATCCTGGATCTTGGACCACTCAGAGGCCGCCATGGCAACGGGGAGACAATGTCCTTGATCCAGTCGGACATTGTCAAATATCAGCATGCAGACAGCAGCCGTGGTCTGGCCCAACGTCCAAGGTCACCTTACTCGAGTGGCCTCTGATAGAGATTGAGCTTCTGACATTGAGGAATAGGGTACAGGCTATGCACTGTCAAAGTTGGCCAGCTGTGCAGGCTGTCAATCCAACAGTCGGTCTGCACTCTGCAGGAAGCAACAATCAAAAGGAAATGTTGCAGACAGTGGCCAGATGAGTCGAGACCTCCAAATCCGCCCACAGCTGCAGATGTAGTTCTCGCTTAGGTACAAGATCGCAGGTACCGCCCACCGGGGACTCCACCGACGTCAATCTGGCTCGGGTTCGCAAGGATACCTCCGCCCGTGTACATCCACCTCTCGCGACTCAGTCACTCGCCAGAGTCGACAAGACACACACCTACGGCACCCCTACGGCACCCCTACGGCACCCACAAGTCTCTCAATCGTCAAAGAAGCTGTCGGGTTCCTGCCTGCTCGCCCTGCCCATTGCGCCTGTCCAGCTGTGATTGTCACCACACTTCAGCTGAGATCAACGGCCCGGCGTCGAACCAGGCCCGGGTTTACTATCGGCCGCCCGCTCACTGCCTCACTCGGACCCATCGGAGGTCCGATCCACTCATCTCCCGTCTCCAGTGTCATTTCCCGTCCCCTCACTCATTCTCACTGCCCTGAGTGAGTGCTCACTCTTGCGCCGCAAATGCCGCTCCCATCCACACTCTCACTCACTGGCCACTGCCACACACACAAACTCATGTCACTGACAAGTCCACCCACACCTGTGACATGACACTGAGTTCATGCACGTCTTCCTCCCTTCCTCACGGGTGCTTACCTAACAAAACCTCAGACGATGGTCGAGCACCGTCAGACTCACCACGAACTGGAGGGCACGTCAATTGAAACGCTCCGGCCGTTTCTGATTGTTTCTCGCGCTGGGATTTTGGAGGCCTGCCGTCATTGCACATCATCTAACTAACCTTATCCTGTGATGCGACGGTTCCTCGAACACGCATCTTTTCTTTTTCTTCTTCTTCTCACAATTGTTCAACACCGCCGCATTTCATCTCATCCGAACAAGTGCTTGGGAGGCCGTCCGTCCGTCCATCCGTACATTGTGACTCCGCAATGCGAGACGCGGGTGCCCTCACCATCGGTATCGTCCATATGGATCGACTCTCTATTCGCGTCTGGTACGACCTTGGGCATAACGTAACCGCCGCGATGACCTCAGTAAGCGCCTGCACCGAACACGACCAATCGCCATGACGGCATCCTTCCTCGGCTCATCCTTATTAAGGTAACTTCTCGTCCTCGACCTCTTCCAGTACATCATTGCAGTGTCAGTGCACTTGTATTTGGTCATCCGAAAGCAATGACACATGGTATTTTTTACCATCTGTCCTGGGCACAATGACGTCTATCCAGCCGCAGCACCTTCATCCCATCTTCATGACCCGAGTCATCATAAACCGCCCTTATCCTTTTTTTATTACCCTAGGGTCAAAACATCATGATGCACGGCCTAGTACATGCTGAGAACAACTACGCAATGGGCCATGGCTATCGGCGACATACGTTTCCTGAAGCTCCTGAAGCTTCGAAATTCCGACCCCAGCCTCCTCGAGTTCTCAAAAATAATTGAGCGAAAGCTATGCTGACAGAATCCGAGCTTCTCAGCAAGTACCTTCCAATGGTCTCGACAAGCGCCGCACCCACCCGAGCCAGGCGCAACGCCGTTGGAAGGGTTACTGCAGACCGACAGCGCTTATCCGTACTTGGTTCTATGGAAATCGCCGCTAGAGCTGCCGGCATCGCGCTTCCCCATCAGGTTAAAAATGTGTTGGTTTCTCAAATCTTTCGCGTTGCGGTGGCTGAAAACCACTACCGGTCGGAACACGTTCTCTGCATGTGCCTGCTGTCCTCCGTGACGTTGCTGATGCATGCAGGGCAATGGGCTAGACACATCACATCGAGCTGTCAGAGTCGGCCACCGAAACTTGCATTGGCAGTAAGCAGTGCCTTCGTTGAGGGATTCGATCTATCTCTTGTGTGACTTGTGGTGAACAACGAATCAGCCAACATCTTTCCCATCTTGCAGACGAGTTTGAAGTGTTTCAGAGTATTCCGCAGCATCATCATTGATGACTATTGGCTCTGCCCGAGGATCAGCTTCAGGGCCGTACCCAGTAATGATGTTTAACGTTATCTAGAAACCAATCCTGGCTCGCGGTGTTGGCCACATTATCAGCTAGCTGTCGCGACATCGTCGCCAGGGCCACGGCAAATGGTACTACCAGAACTTCTGCGATGCGGCTCTCCTCGCGTGATCATGACATCGAATATGAGACATTCCTGGCAAACATTCCATTCAAGTCTCGGAAGCAAGTCGATCAAGATTAGGTTGGCGGATGGCACAACAATCAAATTTAGGCGCCTCATTCTCATTCTTCTTTCTTTTTGTACAAATGCTATTAATATCCAAATATTGCATTCCCAATGCCCCAAGCTGACCGACCGGTTCACAAGGCAACTTCTTCCCATGCATGCGTGTGTCTCACCAGTCACAGGACGAATCCAGCAGATCTGAATCAAAAGGTCATTTATTTCTACTGAAGAATTCTGTGCGACAAAATACTTTTGTGATTCAGCTTAGTTGGCCGGGACCCTGACCTTGATGACGATCTGCGGGACGAACTGGGCCGAGCGACAGATGTGTGTGGTGTGTGTGCGCGCTCCCCCGCCATAGTCGTGATCCAGGGATGTAAGTATGTAGAGTGTATTGGAAAGGGGACCCTGAACGTTCAATATAACTTCTAAAGTCCATGTCCCTGGTGATAACGGAAAATTTGTGGTCGTTGTCTCGCGGGTGGTAGGTATTCAAACACATCCCT